AAAAAAAAAAAAAATTGATCTGTGGGAAGAAAAATGGCCACGACATGATAAATTTTCAAGATTATATTTCCAGTGATACACAAAAGTACAGGAGCTTGTCCAATTGTACGGATTGAAGCTCATCATTATCCTTTGTTGCCAATATCTCAACAGCAAAGTAGTGTGCAGATGCAGATATTATATACTAATCATCAAATGTGCTCATGAAACCACCCATAAACCCAGCACCATTGCAACTACCACAAAGAATCTCCTTTTTGCCCCTGCAGAAAGAGTTGCCGGGTGACGTCAAATATCCGAGAAATGATATATTTGGAAGTAGGTGCAATGATATCGAGAACTTGTATCAAAGAAAAGTGTCTGAGGTCATTGCTCGGGTGTAGAATAAGAAAGAAAGTTGATAATAAGTTGTAAACCAAATATAAACTTCGATGAAATTGTTTTTATATAAGACTTCATTGGAGATCTACCAAAATAGAGATGGCAGGTTGAACTTTGTTTCAAACAGACAAGAAATTTAAAAGTTCGGCTAAAATTTAGTAGAATGTCACTCGGTAAGACAACGACTCAGCTTTGAAATTCCAAGTACAATGGTAAAAAAAAAAAAAGGATAAAAAGTAGGCAAAAGTAAACCTGCATAGCCAGCACATGTTTCCAGCTTTGAACTGCCCGTTAAAGTGATCGACTGAATTGATTCCACTTCCTTCGCATTGAGTACATTTCTTAGCACCTAAAAATTGTAAAGGGAAATAAACAAGATCGATTATGTGCAAAGAAGGGAATTCCTTTTTGCTTATCAAATATATACAGTTTGGTGTCTAGCATTAAGTAGTTATTGCTGCTAAAACTAGTGATGACAATCATTCTCATTTGCTTTACCATTTAATCAAGTAAAACCTTTTTGACTACCATTTCCCAAGTACAATGACAATGCATAACAAAAATGATAAGGAGATCAGCTAATATGTGAAGATCCGATTCTTGGAAAGAGTGACAAGTAAAAGAGATAAAGAGATCAAAGAAGAACACATTACTAACTAGCTTGCTGATAATGCGAAACACTAAAATCTATTACTAAACTGTCTTATAATTTTCACTTAACGTATGTAGCATTTGCATGTCAAGCCATATTTTGCAATTCACAAAGTCCAATATCCAGTATTAACTGAAACAGTTTGAAAAAAGTAAAAAAGACAAATAAGATATGGCCCTGCAAATAAGATACGTGACAACACGAGGATGTCCACTGTCCACTGGCAAAAACAAAAAAGTAGTGTTCCACTTACCATCTCCATCACATTCAGCACAACGTATGCTATTCGGTTTGGTGCTTGGTTTGTTGCTCGTAGCCTGTGAGACAATGTAAAGTCGAGGGTGAAAAACACAGTAGTTGCTCAAGCCCAAGAGACAAACTAGAGTAGAAAAGTTAGACAATGCCGTAAGATAATCATAAAAAACAGTAACAATGTTGTTAGGCAGGTCTATGGCTAGCTAGACAACCATATTTTTTCACTAGATATACAAAATTTAAAACTAGAATGCAATACTCTAAAGAACAATAAAAATAGAAGTATGATGACATTCATAACATAGGTAAACATAACAAAAATGTATGACGAGTCGAGCCGCCTAATGGCTAGGCTGCCTCACACAAGAACTTGCATCATAAAGAAGTTTAGCAAACCAAAATAAAGCACAATAGCAACCAATCAACATTTGGGCAAAGGGCAAAAACGCCCAGAACATATGAGAGGCAAATAAAAGTTAATTGCATCAAATTTAGGGTCCTTAGCAATGCGATTAGAAAACTATAGAGTTCCAAACAACCTGCATGCTGGTTTCTGGGCAAGAATTAGAATCGAACAGCAGCCATCTCAGATGGCTCCATGCAGTGCGCGAGTTCAAAACCAACTAACCAACAATTACAAAGTTCAAGAGCAAAAATGTCACTCACATTAACCTTCAAAGCTTCGAAAGGAGCATTTCTTGAGCTACAAGAAGCGTCTGTAATCCAATTTGCCCTCCCGCAGCTCAATTTGTGGCTAATAAGTCCTGAAACAAAAAAAATTGCATTCAATTCTCACTGGAAAGATAAAA